CTGTGAAGCAGGGGAGAGGAGACATAAGGGGCAGAACCCGTGGACACAGAACTCAGGTGGGAAGTCTGGACCTGACGGGGACCCTAGAATCCCAGTGGCGATGCCTCCCTCAGGGTGAGTGTTGAGTCGGAAGCCAAATGAGCTGCCTTTCAACCAGCACAGGATGCAGATAAAGTTTATGCGATTTCGGATTACACACGGGCTGCCCCTGTTGTTCTCCGGCTGCACGGCCACTGCAGAAGCAGCCTTGGCCACAGAAGCAAGAAGAATGTTTCCTAGCAGGGAAGATGACCCCGAAACAAGACCCAAGACCAACAGTGTTTTCCCAGGTCCTCGTCACGATTTGCTGACAGCTGTTTGACTTCAACTAAGAGACAGCACAGATATCAGTGTCCAGCAAGGGACCATTTCTCTTGCCCATGGAAAACATTTCAGCCATGCAAACACTTGGCCTAACAGAGAAATAGTAAGAGCTGAACTGAGAGGCTGGTTTGCACAATAATTGTGTTCGTGTGTGTGTGTGTGTGTGTGTGTGTGTGTGTAAACACTCCCACACACACCTGAAGAAACCAGCCACAGCCCAATTTATAATTAGCAGACTTCAGGTATGCAGGAGGTCCATGGGTTATGAACCTGGAATGGGTAACAGCCTGTTAAGTCCTATAACATTTCGCCCCCACTGAGGTCACATCAACAGACTGGAGAGTGACTCCCCCTGCAGTGCACTCAGGCATTTGGAAACCTCTGTAGTTTTTTTTTTTTTTTTCTCCAGGACAAAGACCCAAGAAAATCCAAGTTCCTCTAGGAACCCAAAAGCTTTTGACAGCCATGAAATAACTCTTTATTCCCTGTCTACTGTAATTCCCATCCCCTTGGCTCCACCTAATTGGTCAGTAATATAATCTGACTGCCCAGGGAGGCCAGGTGTCAGAGGGACTGACCAGTGTGAGATGTGGGTTCCACTATTTCTGTCTTGCAGAAAAGGAAATCGAGACAAATTCAAGGTTGCTCAGCTGGGAAGATAAAGACAGAATTCAGGACCAGCTCTGTGTGCCCCCAGATTTGTGCTCTTATACCATCCTGGTGATCTAATACCATGTCTCATGGAGAGAAGAGACCAAGTGTTAGTCAAGCCAAGAGTCTCCTTTCCTCACTTCCGGAGAACCTAGGGGTCAACTGAACAGCTCTGCTGGATCTCTCTGCCCAGCACCTTCCTGACCCTGAGCTTTGTGCTCCAGCTCTGGGCTCTAAGATGCTGACTCCTGGCAGTTATTTTGATTGAAAGGTAGAAGTTTCAGTCCGTAGCTGACTGGCCCCAAGGCAGGACAGCGTGACACAGGGGTCTGGTGGAAGAAAGCTGCTTGCAGCATGGTGGACAGGAAATAGAAAAGGAGGAGCCCTTCCAAGCCACACCTCCAGTGACCACCCCTTCTGACCAGGGCCCACTTCCTGTCAGTCCACTAAGAGACGCCATCACCCTGTCAGCCCCTCAGAGTCCCTCATGTGAGCACAGGAGGCTCTTGAGGACACCTGGATAAGAACTGTTTAACAGTCAGTATCAGAGTTTCACACCTAATTTGGTGACAGAAACACTAGCTAACCTGGGTTGCTTTCTGCACTATTTTTCATGTAGCAACTAATTTAATCACAAAATCCTACGAGATAACTCTCGTTCTAACAGTTAGGGAAGGCAGGCAGTTGTCCAGAGAGTAATACAACATAAGCAGGGGACAAGAGGGTCCCTGGAGGAGACCAGTCTTCCCATTTTTCTGAGACTACCATCAGGATGCAGAGTGATCCCAGGTTCGGGCTTTGAGTTCTGGCTTCTATACTTCATCTTCAGAAATAGCAGGACCTCTGTCCAGGCTACTCGGGGACCAACTAGGTGGGGAGTAAGGATGGGACAAAAGGTGTATAAATTCAGTGAAAAATCACGGCCAGCATTAGCAGAACTTGATCTGATAGGGAAATAAGAAAAAGATGGAGATGTGCTGGCCATCATGGTTTGGTGTCTCCTCCTCCGAGTAACTCAGAAGTCTCCTGATGCTGCAGCAGGCCTGCCCCTAAGGTTTAGTTTGGCTCTCAGTTACTGACATTTCAAACCTGGAGGATGTTTCATGATCACTTCTTGCTTCTCTTCTGAACACCGAGAAGTCTTGTTAGGGCCGAGCTGTGGGCCATCATGGCGGCCACTGACTGAGGCCGAGGGCGCGGCCGTCTCCTCTGCATGGCCTGCTCCTCACAGGTTCTGGGGCTGGCATCTCCCAGTGACCACGCTCAGGAAAGGGGCTAGGGTAGGCACTGAGCAGCCTCCACAGAGGCCATTTCACCCAGCTGTGGTGCTTCTGTCTGGTTTCTCCCGGCAATGGTTGTAGAGGGCAGTGAAGGCCCGGGTGGCCCAGGTGGAGGCTGAGCCCACTTCCACCATGATTGGCCTCGGGTTCCGGGCCATTTCCCTTGGGACAGTGGCAGCTCTCCTTACAGACTTAAAATACTCGTATTTTGGGACCAATCTGAGGAGCTGTATTTGGCACAAGGTAGTTTTCTCTGAGTGATATGAAAAAAAAATGATCATGCTTTCTTAAAAATTAATTTTATGGTGTGTATTTAGTGCATCCATCGTGATGTTCTGTACTAAAGCGGTGAAGGATCATTAAATTACTGATCTTACCATAAAGATTTGAAAGAAACAGGTGCCTGAGGTGACCAGTGGTTTCAAAACGGCCCTCAGGGTCACTGCCTGTGGGCTGCTGAATAGGTGAGACCTTCACTTGATGAGGTAATCAAAAGGACTTTGAGTGGCTGGGAAATGACCTCAGGTAAGTTAAATGAAATCCCAGAAGCCACTGGGGCTTCATATGGAGCAGTTATGTGTTATGGGTGAGTTTAATACTTTTTGTTCAATTTTCCCTTTTGGGTCCTCAACACATTAGAACTACTAGGGAAGCTGGGCCCAGACCAGGCAGCCAAGCAGTCTGTCTCTGTCTCTCTGAGGCACCTGCTTAAACCAGGCTCACCCCGAGGATTTGTGGGGCCCAGGGCAGGAGTACCACTGAGGGCACACCTGTGCTGTGTCTGCATATTTAAAAGTGCCAATGGAGGCCGCCAGCGGTTAGGCCATGTTTGTTCCTTTCTCCACTTATCACGCATAAGCTTCATAATGGCCTGGAAGGCCAAGTTTGAAGCAGGGATTCATGGCATCTTTGGGGTTCTGTGTCAAAACGTGACTAACAAGGAAGTATGAGCCTCCAGGCCTCTCTGCTCCCCAGTGCTGGCACCTGGTTGCCTGTGTGTGGACACCCTGCCTCCAAGCTCAGGCAAGGTCTGGTCATGTCTTCTGGTGGACAGCAGCCTCTGGATCTCTCCTGACCACCCAGTGGACCAACCAAGTAGTACTGAGTTTCTGAGTTCCCACATCTGGGGAAGAGGACTCACAGGCCTTGGAAGCAGGGTCAAGAGCTGTTTGCACAGAGGACTGGGGACCCCATGTGTTCCCATCCCCCTCACCGCGGGGTCTCCTGATCGGGGACAGTAGGGGCAGATGAGGACAGCCAGAGAGAGCAGGAGCTTTGAAGAAGCGCAAGACAGTGCTGTTCCTAGTGAAACCCCAGGCTCGTTTTTCCAGAACATTCCCTCTGTGGCAGTTTATTATGTGCTATCTGGAAACTGTTCCATTTAATTTTAAAACATCGTTGAAGTGAACCAGCTTCAGGCCACACTAGACCAGTGCATAGAAAAGTCCTAAGTTTCCCAATAGCAATCACTCTTATCTGTTTTCCTTTTGCGTATTCGAGTTCAGTAAACATTTACAAAGCACCCACTGCGTCCAGGGCAGCATACGGTGCCTCCACAAACCTGACCCCTTGTAGGGTATGTACACTTACTGAAGAGTGAGGAGTCCAAACTTAGGAGTCCCCCGGTGGTGGCTGCTGTGGAAATGTGACTTGTGCTATTTGTTTGTTTAAGACCTCTCTCTTCTTGAACTTAATATAGTATAAAACTGACAGATCAGGTGACATTTTTTTATTAATCTGATGTCCTCAATGAGATATGAGTTTATGGCCCTTATTTGATGTGGAAGCAAGTATGAATATTATTTTTGCTGTTCTATGCTCTTTATTTCGATCTGTGTGTAAGTCTGTAATTTTGGAAGAGCCCTTTGCCTTTGCATTAATTTTGTCCACAGCGTGAAGAAGGGGTTTTGAGTTACAGAGCATATTCTTTATTTGAGGGTCTCTTGGGTAGAGTTTCAGGAAAGAAGCTGTTAGGCCAGCATCTATCCAGAGGAGTGCAGCCCCAGAGAGACTCACCTCACATCTGAGCAGCATGTCAGTACATACAGCACTGTGACCAAGAAAGAGGTTTCAGCAGTTCACAGCATTGGAGGCTATCAGGGCAAGATCGGGCAGCCCCGTCAGCAGAGCCTCTGGTGCAGGCCTCCGGCTCCATCCCAACATGGCGGACGGCATCATGGTGGGAGTGGTGGGAAAGGGATGGAGGATCCCATGGGGAGATAAGAAGTGGGAGGCTGAGGAGAGGCTGTGCTTTCTTCCTGTAATGACCTGTTCTTGAGGGAACTAACTCCCTCCTGAGAGACCCAACCCACTCAGCAAGACCAACATTCATCCAGTGTTTCCACGTTCACCTTCCATGTGGCTCCTGTGCACAGATCTAGGCCCAGAGGCGTGAGTCCAGGAGGGCTGGTCCTCGACCTGATGCAGGACCTGGCCTTTTGAGCTGCCACAGAGCCAGTGAGGCCCTTGTCTCTGGAGGAGTTTATGTGGAATACTTTACTCTGGTAGATTGCCTAAGGGAAGGGATCCAGTATCCATCACAAACTTCCATCCTGTGACTTCCATGTGGCTCAGGTTTGGAGTTTAAGAACCAGTGCACCACCTTTGTCTTGCTGATTCCCACACGCAGCCTTGGAGAATGTCTGAGCCATTTCCAGAGAATCTTCCCAAAGCCCTTCTCTGAGCCGTGTGCCTTTTCCCTTGCAGGAGAAAATGCAGAAGTGTCCATGGATGTCTCCCTGGCCTACCGTGACGACACCCTTGCTGAATGGACTGAAATGGCCCACGAGAGAGTGCCAAGGAAGCTCAAGTGCACCTTCCCCTCCCCCAAGGTAGGACGCCTGGATGTCGCAGCTGAGAACCTTTCATAGTTGGCCGGTGTGTGGGAAGACCTGCTTACACTTCACCCACGGGTCCCTTGTCACGTAGCAGGCTTGAGGACAAGGGTTCATCGTTATCCTTCGTCTCTCTGGGGAAGGACAGCACAGACACTGCATGTCCCTCCCAGGAGGGAAGAGCAGCAGGAGAGGAGGAGCATCTGCCGATGTGTCAGTCATGCCTCTGAGATGATCCCACAGAGCAACTGTCAGCTCCTTAGTAGCCAGCTGTAGTGCTGGAAGGGGGTTGCTAGGTTATTTCAGGTTCACCGTGCACGGCCAGTACTTGCACCTGCTGCTGGGTGCCTTAGGCAGCTGTGGGCTGCATGGTTGGTCACGGGTGAGCACACAATCCCAGAAGTCACTTCGGACAAGGAGGACCCAGAGAGGAAATCCGGTTTCACTCAAGACTTGGATTCCCCTTTCGCTGGTGCTTCGGGGGAGCTTGTCCAGCTGGCTGGGAGAATGTCATGGTCCTGCTCTTAGAAGCAGGGAGGCATTTTCTTGTGTGCAGGATCCTGACGTTCCTCCTAAGGGATCAACACAATGACCCCAAAGGACGATGGGATTCTGTGGCAGAGCACACCAGAATGGCGTGGGGCTTTTCATAGGCAAAGCGCTGGCCTCCACGCTCTCCGCCCACCCTCTCCCTGTTGAAAGCTTCTGTGCGGGTGAGACAGAGCAAGGACTTCTGTGCTCTGTTACTCGATTTCCCAGGGGCTCTACACGGGTGCCACCAGCCAGAGGGTTGCTGGTGTCCCTCTGTCCGCTGCAGAAAGGACCCTGGTTTCTTGGTGTGCAGTGCAAGAACAGCCACATTGTCCCGATGATGTCTGTCCTCTGGCTGTCCTCAGATCTGCAGCTCCGAGGGACCTGGACAGCTTGGTGATCTCCACCGTGTAGAGATCTCTGTTGCCCTCCTCTCCCAGCCTCTGGCCTTTCCTCACTTTGCTTTTGCCTGTCCTCGTAAGGCTGGGATCCCTGCAAGATGAAGAATGGCAGGCAGAAGCCTCTGAGTCCTACACCCCAGCCCCACCCTTCCTTCCCAGAAGAATGGTAAATTGAGGCAGGGAGGTCTTGAAGTCCTCACCGAAGCTAAGCCCAAAGTCTACAAGGTCCTATCCCACCATGACCCTGCCTGTGTGCATACACAGTCTGCCTGAGCTGGGTGCCCACCCTGCAAAATGGGATACTAACACCCGCCTTGGACCGGGTGAGGAGCAGATGAGATCATGCACAAGCAGGGGTGACCTTACCATGTACATCACATTGGGGGTGCCTCTGAGGATGAACTGGGGGTGTTATCAAGATGGGTCGCCTGGACAATAGGTCCACACCTAGTCTCGTGGGCAGACCACTCTCTCCTAAGGACCTCATGCAGTACCTGGAGCCCAGCAAGCCTCCCTCCCCCACCCAGCCTGCTAGACTAGCGCACCCCAAGAAGGGTCTGCAGCCTTGCAGCGACCCCTGCAAGCGCATAGGGAACATAGATTCCCGGGCTGCCCGGGCCGCACCTCACGGCCATGGTCCCAACGCTCCTTCCGTCCACTGCTCTGCAGCATCCCACAGGCTGGGCACGTGGTGGACAGCACAGGTTCCCCTGGCTCACAGCTCTGCAGCCCCAGAGGTCACAGTCACAGCAGTGACACCTGGCAGGGTCCTTGGTACAGCACCAAACTGCCCAGAAGGGACCAGACAGGGTCCCAACAGCAGCGACCCTGCCTCTTGTAACTAACCCACTCCTGCAACAGCGGATGGGCTGCAGGAGGCAGGGCCCCAAGGCCCCATCGCCTCTAGAACCCACAGCCCCTTAACTCGGTCACACTTTCATTTCAGCGCCAGCCAAGGAGGAACTGCAGCACAACCTGGACTGAACTCTCAGGTGCCAGGGCCAGGGTCTGAGCGCTGTTCTCAACCCTGCTCAGAGCCCCAGAGGGAGGGTGGCACCCTCTTAATAACCTCAGGCTCTACCCTGAGAAGGTGAACCTTTACAAGGATGCTGTGGTGTTTTCCACCTTCCCAGCACACAGGGAGGGCAGGGCAGGACAGAGGGGTGGGAATGCCTGCCCCCGCCTGGTGACAGTCTCTTAATTATCTTTAGGATGTGTTGATCCCTTTGGAGAGACATATTAAACCTTGAAAGGCGGGAAGGAAATGAATCATCAAATCTGTGCTTTTTGATTGCAGTGAAATTTAGTCTTCAGTCTGAAGATTAAATGAGAAATTGCTTTCAAGCTTTTTTTAGTCCCTGGTGGATTGTGAAGTTAAAAAAAAAGAAAAAGAAAGAAAGCAAGTCAAGTTGCCACCTGCTGCAGTTTGTCCTAATTAGCCGGTCTCATGCCGGAGCCTGGGAGGATGGAGGGGGTGGGGGAGCAAACAGAGAAAGAGAGAGAGGAGATGTCTGATTTCTTAAATGCCCTAAATACTGGCAGAGGCCACAGGAAAAACCTCTCACTGCTGCTTTGTGTCCAGCATCAGACGGCAGCCAGCGTGGAAGCTGGGGTCTCTAATTCCTTGTCCCCGATGGTAATGTGACCCTCGACATGGACACACACCACAAGGAGTAATGACCCAATGACCCTCTTATCAACCTTGGGCTCTACCTGGCAGAGATATGACTGATCCAGGTGTCCAGCAAGGGGCAAGACAGTCCTGGGGTCACAGCCTCTGTCCCCCACCATGAGGCAGAGGCAGCAGTGTGGCACAGCTGGATTTGGAAGGCCCAGGTCACTGCCAAGTTCTGCTGCTGCTTTGGGGACCTTGGGAGAGACACCCATCGAGTAGTATTGGACCCCATGGAGTCTGTTCCCTTCCCCCTTGAAGCCTGGGGTTCTATGCACAAATGGGGTCCTGACTGGAGCGGTCGCAGACTGACCTTGTGCTGTTAGCCGCAGAGGACAGGCGGGCTTTTAGTGCCGGGAGGCTGAATCAGAGCCCCTAGAGTGTTTTTAGTGCCCTGCACAGCCTGACACTAGTCCTGATTTGTAAGTGCAAGAGAGCAAGGAGGCCTGGGGGAGGCTGAGGCAGGAAAATCACAAGTTGGAGCTCTGCCTAGCCAACTAAGAGAGACCTGTGTCAAATAAAAACGGGCTGGGGGTTAACTCAGCATGGAGGCCTTGGGTTTAATCCACAGTGCCAGAGGCAGAGAGAGGAAACAGAGAGGGAGAAAAAGAGAGACAGAGAGTCTGATACAGGAAGAATAATCCCACTTGTACTCAGGGTTTGGGAAAGCAGCGGAATTTTGTTTCAGATCTTCCCTCCCGGCTCTGCTCAGCTGGTGCAATGTGACAAATTAGAGCTGGTGTCTCCTGAAGTGCGGCTCCCTCCGAGGAGCTGGCCGGGGGTGGGGGAGTGGGCGGGGGCAGCTGGCTGGAGCTGGCCGGGTGACTGGCCCGAGTTTTTTTCACAAAAATCACTAAGTTGCCCAGGCTGGATTTGAACCTTACCTCCTCCTGCCTCAGCCTTCCAGAGTACTGGGATGACAGCTGTGCACACCAGGCCCTGCAGGTAGTGGCTAATTATTTTCACGGTGAAGCTAAAGAAGTTGAAAGTATCTTCTTTTTAAAAGGCTCTGCCTCAAAAATAAAAATGGGCTGGAGATATAGCTCAATACAGATGCCCAGGTCTGACTGCCCAAATAATAATCATAACCACAATAATGGGCAAATAATAATAATAATCATTGGCCCTCCTCAGAGTGTAGTGGCTCCAGTGGGCACGTTCCCGGAGTATGTAAGGAGCTGACTGACCATGCAGCCTTAGTGGTCTCCTGTGGACAAGGAACCGTCGCCCCTGGCCCAGAGCAGTCTGGGGTGAGGCTGTGTCAGGGACCAGAGAGCAGAGAATTGCACTGAGATATACAAGAGATCTCTGTTTTTGTAAAACTGTTCTGCCTCAAATGTGGCCAATCTTTATTTTGTTGAGGTGGGCAGAGCTGGGCGGACACCATGGCAGCAGGACCCCCAGCAATCGATCCGGCCCTCCAGAGCATCTGCTAAGCCTTAAGGTCCTTGGGTGCACGATGGGAGATCCTGGGACCCAGCCACTGCCTGAGACCCTGTGCTGTTCTTCCAGACCCCAGAGCACGAGGGCCGCTACTACGAATGTGACGTCCTGCCCTTCATGGAGATCGGCTCCGTGGCCCACAAGTATTACCTGCTGAACATCCGGCTGCCCGTGAATGAGAAGAAGAAGATCAATGTGGGGATCGGAGAGATCAAGGACATCCGGCTGGTGGTGAGTGGATGGTGCTGACTCCGAAGCCTGGGGGATGGCAGGATGCCGGCCAGGGATGCAGCTCAGGGACAGGTGTGCTGAGGGACCCCCCACACTGGACATCTGTGCACCCCCTCGCCCAGCTGCCTCTGAGATGCGGAGTGAATGCCACGGCCCTGCCAGGCGAGATCAGAGTGAAAATTAATCAAAGCAAGAGATGACAGAGGTGGAAACCAGTGCAGATATTTCCAGCGGGCTGCAGATGCCGGGAACCGCTGTGATGGTGATAGGGTCGCGATGACAGGCTGGCAATGGCACCGAGATACAGGTGAAGCACTGTGCAGGTGTCCTGCCCAAGGGCCCAGGTGTTCAAGGAGCCTGGGGTGGCTCAGGTTCTCCCTGTTTTATTAGTTTAATTGGGGGAAACATGGAGTGAAGAGAACATGTTTTAAAGCCTCAGAGCCATCGCACAAGGGAAACTTAGGTGAAGCCCCTGGGCGGGTCCCAGCGGGTACCTGTCACACCCACATCCCAGTGTCTAGTGAAGTGACCTCTACTGAACTTTGGATCCATTCCCTCCAAGGCTTCTGCATGGAAACTTCATTACTAAAGAGGCGGTCACACCGAGTGACCTGTGTTCCTTGAGTTTTCTTCATTTCCTGCCGTGGTATGGATGCTGCTGCCTAGATTCACCCTCAGGCATTTTGCCAACCTTATCTCACTCTATGTTAGGGCGAAAACCCTACAGAAGTCTTTGATCATTTTCTTAATCCTTCCCTTCTCGTGGACAGATCCATGCTTCTGCTGTTTAGCGTACGTGTTTCTGCAGCTCTGGAGGAGCACTTAGGGGGCAGGTGAAGGCTGTTCCTGCCACGCTTAGCAACACTTTTGATCTCCAGAGCTTGGCACACGGACTCTCCACTCACCTGTAACCTGAGTGCATTCAACAGCAAAAACAATAATAATAATAATACAAAGATGTATCCACCCTCAAAATCCTGCTTGTGTCTGTCCAGGGAATCCACCAGAATGGAGGCTTCACCAAGGTGTGGTTCGCCATGAAGACCTTCCTGACGCCCAGCATCTTCGTGGCCATGGTGTGGTACTGGCGCAGGATCTCCATGATGTCCCGGCCCCCGGTGCTCCTGGAGAAGTAAGGCTGACCCTGAGTGAGAGTCGCTTTCCCCACCTCCTTCCAGAGCCGCTGCTGCCTCGTCTCTACAGGCACCCTCCGAGCCTTGTGCTCATCTCCTCCACTCCTCTCCTGAGCCCCTCTCAGCCTGGACTCCTCCCTGCAGCTCCTCTAAAACCACTCAAGGGTCACTTCCGACCCTCACTTTGCTGGACGGACGGTTAGCAGCGGTGGACTTAGCAGCCCCCGGGGTCTGCACCCCGCTCTGCTACACTTCCCTCTCGTCCTCCCAACCCCTTCGACTTGGGAGCCAGGGCTCAGGCTGGGGCCCCTTCTTACCAGCCATGCTGTGCCCCTGCCTTTCAGCAGGGGTTCCCAGGGCTTCCAAACTTCTGCCCTCCGGTGACTCTTTTGTTTTAGCTTGGTTTTTTGGTGCCAGGGTCTGAACTCATGACCTTAGGCTTGCCGTGACCTTGTGCTTGTGCCTCTGAGCTGTATCCCCAGCCCTCCGATGACTCTAAATTTACATCTTCAACCTCGGTTTCTCCCAGCGATAGACCCAAATATCCCCACTGTTACTTGACATCTCCACTTGCGTTCTAAATGTAACCTGTACACAGAACGGTGCTTGATTTTCTCTCCTTCCAAACCCGCTTTCCTCCCAGTGCTCCCCATTTTAGTGAAGGGCAACTCCATCTTTTCAGTTGTTGAGGCTTAAAAGGTGGGGATCACCCTGTCTACCCTCTCCCTCTCTCCACTTCTCTCACCCACTGGATAATCTCACCATTTCTGTGGGGACCACCTGAGCCCGTCCACGTCCACGACAGCAGCCTGGGACCTCCTCCCCTGGCTTCTGCTGTTTCCTCCTAGACTAATTCAGGAGCCTCAGTGCTTCCTGCTGAGTGTTAATCAGATCACATCATGCATGCTTTTCATCTCCTTTGCCCTTGTCTGCAGACCCCTTAATGATCTGGCCCTCGGCCACCTCTGATCTTATCTGTTCTTCTCTTCTGATCTTATGATCTTATCTGGCTCCTTTGATACCTGCTGCGGGCTGCTCCAGGGCCTTTGCACTTGCTGGTCCTTTCCGGCTATCTGATGTTTCTCATCCTAGAGGCATTTTCAAATCCACCTTATATAAAATCTCATCCCCCATCCCTCTTCCTCCTCTGACCCAGCTTTGTTTGGGTCTTTACTTCTCTCATTCATGACTATCTTCCATGTCTAGAATAGATTGGACAAAGGAGTTTAATGGACGTTTGTTGAATGAATGATTCAATCATGTAACTCCACTCTTGAGCTTCTTAATTGGATTCACAGTCTCTCAAGATAAGTTCCAATTCCCTGAAGAGTATGTGAGGCACTGAGGAGCTCAGCCTCTTTATTTCTGTGTTGTCCCCTGGTCTCCTGATGTGCTATTCACAGATCACCAGTACTGCAAGCTCCTCTGGGCCCCTGTGGCTCCAGCCCAGCCCCACTGCTCCCTCCTGCTCCTCACCTGGGCTACTGAGGCTCAGCGCCTGTCCCTACCCAGGAGCCCAGTCTTGGTGGCAGCCTTCTGGTCACCACAGCGTGGCGATGCTGCTTGTCACTTTGGTCATTTAGTGTGCCTGTCACTCTCCCCAACTCAGCATGTCTCCGAGAGGCCCAAGCTGTCCTTTCGGGGTCTGTCTGTCTCCTAGCACCACTCCTGGTATAGTGTCTGTGCTTCCTAAACCCGTGGGCCATATCTCAGGGGTGTGAAAAGAAATCAGAATAAATTGAGATGCAGGAACACAACTGTCACAGAGAAGTGGCAGTGGACAAGCAGACAGCAAAAAGCAAAATAAAGCCTCAAGCAACAGCCCAGAGAGTTGGTATTTCCTGCGCATTTGGGGTTATTAGCAAGACAGGGGTGGTTACCTAATTCGTAGCTGGTGTCTCTCTCACAGTGGGAACCTGAGCTCTTCATGGACAATGGACACCCTGTCCACAACAGTCGGGGATAGAGGCCCCCTTGGGGTCTGTCTAAGGAGGTGAAGGGTGGAGGAAGCCAAAGTTAAGCGGGTGTTTGGGGTGAGGGTGGCCGGCTGTCTGCACTTCGGGTGGGCGCTCACTGTGTCTGCTGCAAAGCCAGTCTGCTGGCCGGGTCCCAGGAAGGGGCAGCCTCCTCCGAGCCTGCAGACGGCTCAGCCGGCTCTGAGGTGCCTCCTCCCCACAGGGTCATCTTCGCGCTGGGCATCTCCATGACCTTCATCAACGTTCCTGTGGAGTGGTTCTCCATCGGCTTCGACTGGACCTGGATGCTGCTCTTTGGGGACATCCGGCAGGGTGTCTTCTACGCCGTGCTGCTGTCCTTCTGGGTCATCTTCTGCGGGGAGCACATGATGGTGAGCGGCCGGGCAGGGCCTCGGGTCACTGCGTCACCGCCTCACAGCTTGAGTTGGGTGAGAACCCAACGAGACCGTGAGTGACCCAGAAGATAGGATCCTCATTCTCGTGCATGGTCCTAGTTCCCATCCTGTGGCTCAGCTGTGCCCCTGAGAACAGGGTGGCCACCGTGCATACGGGCACAGCCCCTGCAGCCGGCCATCTGTCTCCATGACCCAGTGACCCCAGACCTTGTCACATGGACATCAGACCCTAATTTAAGAGAGACTGAGGTGCCATGAATAAAACAAGACTGGAGCCATCTGTACATGGTGGCTTAGATGTGACCTGAGCTTCGTGCTCATGTCCAGGCCATGAGCTTCGTGCTGCAGTGGGCTATTTCTCAGTTCCACAGTAGCCTGACCATGAAGGTCATCCGCTGCAACCTGCTCCTTCCTGCGGGGTGGTGCAGAGAATTCTGTCTCATTACTTTTCCACTGCTGAGACAAAGGCACCCAAATTAAGGGAGAAAAGGCAACTCAATTTGCAGAGGTGCGGGCCTCAACCGGCTGGCTCCGAGGCAGGGTGGCCTCGAGGCCCCTCCGAGGCAGAGGGGCACCCATTCATGGCAGTCAGTGGGAGACAGTAGAAGCAATAAAGGAGTCCAGACAAGCCTCCTTCTGTCCCACGTTAGGGCAGTGCCGGTCCAGTCAGTGGACTGACCCCACGCCCCTACCTTAGTCCCAGCATGGCAGTATGAATCTTGCCACACTGCGTACTGTTACCCTCTGAACCCGTGATCAGAGCACTGGCCCTAGACCTGCGATGTTAGTGAAACACCACAGCACCACAGGCGTCCAACTGCATCTCACCTCCAGAGCTATCAGCACAGCTCAGCCTGTGTTTCTCCGGATAAGCTGGTCACTTACAGTCGGGGAGAGGGGGATTGGTACTGCTTGTTTGCCAACCAGTGAGCTGGAAGGGGCTGGGGTCTGGCTGTTCCCAGTCCAGCAGTAGCCCACACGTGGTGCTGGTTCCCAGACTGGACCTCCGTGCTGGAGTGGCCTTGTTCTCTCCCACTGTAGTCCGCAAATTGTGCTGACTCACAGGGCAAGACTATGAATCAGTTACCTGAGATTCAGCCTCTGAGGAAGTCTTCTGACCACTCGAGGCTTTGGAGGGGCAGAGAAGGAGGCTTTGTCCACTACCTGACTGCATGCTGAGGATCCCACAGAGGGGCCCGGGAGGACTGAGTTCTGGGCTGGGGGCTGGGAGAGGAGTGGAGCTGCCTGTTGAGATTGTGGAGGACAAGGCCAACTGTACCCCAGTCATTTCCAGCTGATGATCTTCCATTTTTCCTGAGGAGATGCTGGGGCTCGAACCCAAGGCCTTGTGCATGCAAAGCAAGTGCTCTACCACTGAGCCAGCCACCAGCCCTAAATGAGCTTTACCTCATGTCCCCATGTGCCCTGTCCTCTTACTGTCATCAGAGTCCTCAAGGACGGGCTTCGTGATGGTTTCTTCCTGTCCCCAGAGGAGTAGGATCTAGGAGAAGGGGACCTCTGCCATCCTTGTTCTCAGACACCCCAGTCCAGCTCGAATGGCCCGTGGTGGACAGCACATACCATGGGACAAGGCTGGCTCACCAGGAGAACCTCTGTCCCTGCCTGCTCCCCCGCCTGACCTCCTCTTCCCTGCAGGATCAGCACGAGCGGAACCACATCGCCGGCTACTGGAAGCAGGTTGGCCCAATCGCTGTTGGCTCCTTCTGCCTCTTCGTATTTGACATGTGTGAGAGGTGAGCAGGTGCCCCAGGCCTCAGCACAAAAGGTGCATGACCTCCCCCAATCTCTTCCAAGGGTCAGTTTGAGAAGGTGGTTGGGAGCCTTTAGGAAGTCACTGGGTGTGGTCATGTCTTCAGGTCCAGACTGGGCTTCAGTCCAAGCTGTGGGCCTTTATTTGTTTTTTCCCAGCACTGGGGATCAACCCAGGTCCTGTTGCAGCCCCAGGTCCATGCATAGCCCCTTAGAGTTGCAAAACTTCTGGGCCATCAAGCTCTCTCCAGCTTGTTTCACTGTGGATTTGTTCTCTGTGATGCTGCTGGTCAGGGCACAGCTCCTCCTCCCCCAGCTAGAGATGGAAAGCAAACAAAGTCCAGCTGCTTCGCCTTAGCAGCAGTTACACCCCGGCTTTCCCTCTTGGTTCTTTTCCCTTTTGTCTCTGTAGAGGCGTGCAGCTCACCAACCCTTTCTACAGTATCTGGACCACGGACGTTGGCACGGAGCTGGCTGTATCCTTCCATGATGCGCTCGGGGTTTTATTTGTTCCCATAGCTGCCAGGTTCTCAAGATCATGTTCCAGAACTCAGCTGATGTTTTCCATATGTGCACAGCCAGGGTTTGCTCCTGAGACCCGTGATAACGGTAGAATTAAGGCAACTGGTGGCCAGAATCACTGCTTGCTTTCAAGCCTGGCTGACAGCAGAGGAGCACAGTGGCTGGTTTTCCCCTCAACCTGTCCGAATGATCAGTTACTGCAGGCTGAAGCGTGACCAGCTTTTCCCTCGGCCCCCAGGGTACACCTCTGGGTGGATGTGGCGAGAGTGTGTCTCTGAAGTCACATGTGCACAAGATTCCTGGCAGTGACCTGGGTGTGCATACAGACACACCCAGACACTCTGCCCATCCCCAAGACATCAGGGGGGCGATGATGATGTTCCAGGAGACATCCCAGGCTTCTTTATGAAGCTGTGGTGACAGTCCTGCCTTACCCCTTTCAGGATGCTGGATTTGACTGTTTTATCTCCCGCTACTGAGGCTTATGCTGGTTTCCAAGTGTCACAAGAATGTTGTGACAAACTAACTGAGCAGACAGCAGATGTCTGCCTTCCTCCAACATTGCCCCGCTGCCCCCTCCAGAAACGCTAGCTGCTCAGCGAGGGAGCCTTGGTAAGGTCATGTGGTTCCACTCTTTCATTTGGATGGGGAAGGAAGTCGAGGGAGAAAGGAAAACTCCAAGGTCTGCAGGAAATAACCGCCTTTGCTTCATTCCAGAGTCCCGTTGGTCCTAGAAAGGAGAAATTTCATACTGGTTAGTGAATGTGGGGTGTGATCAAAAAGTGTGACACATGTTTAAATAAAAGTTTATTTTAGGGCTGGGGATGTAGCTCAGTGGCATAAGTGCCTGCCTGGCAAGCACGAGGCCCTGAGTTTGGTTCCTGGTATCAAAAGTAAATAAATACGTATTTTATTCATGTGCAGTAGACACATGAATGCCTCCCAGGACCCTCCCTTCCTGCATCAAACTCATCACACAGCCCTTGTCACTTTCCGCAGCAGCTCTGGAGTGCTCATTTCCAAGGGGCTTTGTAAGGTGTGATCAAAAATGTAGTGACTGCTGCCACCACCGGCCAGCAGAGAGGCAGCCTCATAGAGACAGGACACTGGCTCCTCATCCTCCTCGGTCACCAGATCTGGTGTGGTGTGATTTCCGGCTCCTCCCCAAGGTCACAGTGACCAGGAAAGGAAAATGTTTTGAATCTAATCAGGACATTGAGACAGCCAGGACAGCACAGCTAAAGACCCCCAGGAGAGAGCTCTCCAGATTCCGGCAGGAGCCATGAGAGGAGGGTGTTGGCAGCAAAGAGGGACTCATGGCCATGGGTCTTTAACTTAGCACATTTTAAAATGTAAACACCTATCATATTTTTGACCATGCCTCATGTATTGGCTGCGCTCACACTTGTTAAAATGGTTTTTTAAAATACAAGCAATTTGGGGTGAGGTTGTTGCAGCTGAGAGGAGCAGGTGTTAAGCCAATCCGATCCCACTCCAGGAAAGGCTGTCCAAGCCGTGGTGGTCATCTTGCTGGACCCCACAGTGTGCGCAGAGCCTCCTGGGTGGTCCGGTCCCCAGCTCCTATCATTGCCACAGGTCCTTCTGATCCCCATTGCATCTGAGAAGGCTGTCAGCAGTGAGAACAGATGATGTCCAGGGCTTCCTCCAGGTTTGACCTGAAGGTCTTCAGCCTCCAGCCAGGTCCTTGGTGGCCGCTGCCCGTAGCTCCCACTGACCTTTCCCTTCCACACATCTGGGTCTTGTCCTTGAAGGTTCCACACCAGCTCATGGTTTCCTGGCCTGGGAAACAGTTTGGTCACCTCTGCAGAATGATCGTGTCCAAAGACCTCCCACTGACCTTGGCATGGAAGCTTGTCATGTTTTTCCCCTCAAAACTCCCTGAATACTTGGAGACCACACAAGCATGGCCAGTGGCTCTGGGAGGAGCACAAGTGCCTGGGTCCCCCGCTCGGGTCCACGGTACACCCGCCTCTTCCTTGACTGCATGCTGACAGATGGCCTTCATCATCGTGGCCGGCATCTGCCTGTGCCTCTACTTCCTCTTCCTGTGCTTCATGGTGTTCCAGGTCTTCCGGAACATCAGCGGGAAGCAGTCCAGCTTGCCCGCCATGAGCAGGGTGCGACGGCTGCACTACGAGGTGAGTGGCTCCAGGGCCCTGGCTGGCTCCAGCCGGGCAGCAGGATTTGGGGTTTGGCCTGGGGGTGAGGCTTTCAGCAGATTTCGCTTGCCCAGAATGAGCCTCAAGCTGCTTCCCAGATCTGATAGCCCATATCCTCCTAAAATAGCCAGGAGGTGATCAGCCAGTGTCCAGCCCTCTGCACGTTGTTAGATTCCTCTGGGGAGAAGACTCCACACCCACACATTCCTGATTTCTCCAAGGCTCCCTTCCTCGGTGCCTAAGTGGCTGCCGTCCTTAAAGACACCAGCCCGGCCTGATGCTTCCTGACAGGAGAATCGGCAGAACCCCGGTGCTTTCCCAATGCACAGAAAAGCCCGATTCACAAACCTCCAGTCCCGCTCTGGTATACCACAGGGACTTTCTGAGGTTTGCTTGTACCCAGACCTGGAGTGACACGTGCAAATCCAACCAAACCACTTCCCGTTGACACATGTGCACAATTCCTTTTTTTTTGTTTGTTTGTTTGTTTGTTTTTTAATCTTTTTTATGGGTACCGGGGATAGAACTTACCACCTACCGCCTGCTTGCAAGGCAGGTGCTTATGCCGCTGAGCTAAATCCCTAGCCCCAACAATTCCGTTTGTTCACCGGAGCAGAACTGTTACTACTACAGAGAGCTTGGGTTTTGAAACTCAGGGTCCTTGCTGAGAAGCCTGGCTAGCTTAGGGGGATTAGCAGCCTCCATGTTAGGAGCAAGATTGCCCGGACTCCTCCAGCACTCCCTGGGGAGATGAAGGAACCTGGGAAGCAGAAGTGTCAGCCCCCTCACCTAGGCAGGAGAAATGCAGGATTGTTTCACTATCGTTCATAGGATTTGCATTCAGAGTTCTTTCCAAGGAGCTTTCCTTGGATTTCTATATGAACAAAAGGCCTGGTGAAAGACTGAATGCTTTTCTCTCTGCCTGCACAGGGGCTGATCTTCAGGTTCAAATTCCTCATGCTGATCACTTTGGCCTGTGCTGCGATGACTGTCATCTTCTTCATCGTTAGTCAGGTGAGTGACCCCCAGACATCCAGAGAGAAGGTCCCCAGAGGTTCTTGCACACACACAGAAATCACAGAGGGCTTATGCTCCAGGCAGCTGGTCAACCTTTGTACAACGCTTTCAGGGCAGCCAGGTGGTAGCAGTTGCTAGATAAATTAAAACCCCACAGCCAGATTGAGGAGAACATGTTTCATTTCTTGAAGAGAATAAACTTTGTGAGCCAAGCCCCACAGCGCTACACTAACAAGCAAGAATTGATTTGCTTGGATCCTTATCCAGCGTTAATGTAGACCCTTTTACCGCCCATCACCCACGCTTTGTAGTAATTATATTGCCACTTAAACACAGTGTGCAATTCCAAAAGTCCCACTGGGGCAGCCTTTCCATTGGTCGTTTCCCAAGCTCAAAATGTCAGTGGAGCTTGGAAATCTCAGGAGTGATAATAGTGATTGAAAAATATTGGTAACTTGCTTTGGAACATGGGAAGTACTGCTGAAATCTAACCTGTTAAGCATAGATCATTCTTTTATTTATTTTTTAATTTATTTTAAAGAGGATAAAGCAGAATAAAACCAATCAAAGCAAACCCATGTAAGAGCTACAAGCCTAAAAATATTATAAAATCAACAAAAGTTACCATAATGCCTTTTGATGTCTTCAAAATAGCTGCATGTAACTTTGGACATAGTAAAACTCAAACAGGACAGAATAGAATAGAAACAATAAAAACAAAACAATGAATGCAATAAAGGACTTCAGAATAAGCCAATAGTAAATCCAAAATTGCTACCATAATATGTCTTGCTATCTTTGAAATAGCTGCTCCTGCCCTCAGATTTAACTTAATCAAACAAAACAAAAGAGAATAAAACACAACCCAATGGAAACAATATAGGATGTCAAACCAAGCCCATAGGGAGTCATGGTGGCTGCAACCCTCAGCAGGAAACTCCCCTAGATGTCACACTGTGTACCACTATCCTCTGAACCCATGATCAGACCACTGGCCCTAGACCGCAAGCTCAGTGAAACACCAAAGCACCACAGGCACCCTATTGCATTTCACCTCCACAGCCAACACCACAGCTTGTGTTTCCCAGATAAGCCGGTCACGTGGGGCAGGCAGGATGGTACTTCTTGTTTGCCAGCCCGAGTACCAGAAGCGGCCTGGGTCTGGCTGTTCCCAGTCCAGTGGTGGCTGTTTCCTAGACTATTCTTGCTTGCTGGTGTGGCCTTGTTCTTTCTCCCCAGTCCACGAATGGCACTGACTCACAGAGAGAGGCTTGGGTCCAGGCCTGTGCTGCATCTGTCATTCTTTTGAGCTTCACGAAAATCTCTGAAGTAGGTTAGGAACGGTTATGTCCCCATTTGCCAGAATATAAAATCCAATAGCATTGAGACATTTCCCATTTCTGCTGTTTTCCAGCCACCTGGGAGTGTGTGGATGGCTTACAGTTCTGGGTTTAATTTTCCTTACTCAGCGATAAGAGCACAGGAGAAGGTTGCCGTGAGGGTGGCGGGATGGGAAGCACTGCTGGAAAGTGCTTAGCGGGCCAGCAGGGCCTGCTGCACCCCAGCTGTGTGTGTGAACAGCAGGGCAAGCGACTGAATGTGTTGTGAAAATACAGACAAGCGGGGACCAGAGCTAGCTCCTTCTGCCTCTTTGGCCTGTGCTTTGTCATCCAGACAGTTGACAGCATAGGGACTTTTGTGGGGACAGATAGAGCATTAGTGTGAGACAGCTTCATTGTGCCAGAACGTCCCCTCCGGTCCAGGGGCTCTGTGGGCTCCAGGCCCTCTGGGGAAGCCTGTGAGTCTCAGAAGGCGTCTGCATACGTCCATTAGAATATTCCAGCCTTCAAAGGCAACCATCTACCTATACTCATTTATAACTTGGCAGTGTGTATATCTGCAGCATATGTAATTACACACATGCTAGACATTCCTTGAGGATCACAGATGGGTGTCTTCAAAACCTAAGTCACTTGAAATTTCCGTGATTTCTGCTGATAAAACCATAGTGCCAGTTCTACAGGAATTTGTTTCCTATCATCACAATTACACAAAAAGCTAACTTGCAGATAAAACCGTGAAAATCAAAATAATTTTTTCCAATCCCAGTTCAGGGACTCCCCCACCTCAAGTTCCATCCAAGGGAACCGCAGGTCAGAAGCCCTCGAGCATGGGGCCCGTTGTGTCCTACCAGCAATGTGTCTCTGAAACCTTGGACCCCTCGTGGGGCCGGCCTCTGCCGAGTCCTTGCACCCAATGTCCTCAAGGCAGAGTTTAACTTTGCGCATCTTTCATGCACGTTTGAAAGCAATGGAAACCAGCAGAGCTGGTGGCTTTCCCTTAGAGAAAAAGATTAACACCCACTGCCCCACACCTCCTTATGTCTGCAGCCATAGTTGGGCTGGAGTGGATTTTCCATTAGCTCCTCACACTCCTCCTGCTGGGTTTTTTTCAAGGTGTATTTATAGACATCTAAGACATTTTCCAGCAAAACGTTCAGTGCCCCCATCCTGTGTTAATATAGTCATCAGAGGATTTATTTTCTAAATGTCATTTCAGAATATCAGAGCAGTGAGCTCACCTGAAAGAAAACCTATTGGGTAGCTTTTTTGAGATGGATCCCAGCCTTAGGTAAAAGGAATGTTTTAAAGCCTGCATTGTACTCCGGGCACGCTGGGATCTTGGCATGTAAGCCCCTTGAAATGTGGTTGGGGGGTGGGGTGGAGGGGGGTCTTGCTGGGATGTCAAGGCTCTGAGACCGGGAATGAAAAACCCAGGGAAGTGGTGGAATGCGGTGACCTTGCGGCTTTGTGGCTGGGGACTGAGGTGCAGGCTTTCAATGCCTGCCACTTTAATGGCCTCAGTCATAGCAACCAAGGGCTGGCACATCAGCGCCTGGTCCCTCACCCCTTCCTTCTGGAAGAGAAAGAGGCGTTCAGTAGAGGTGGTGGCCGCAGGGAACACAAATGCAGTATCTGGGCCACACTGTGTCTGACCTTCAAGGAGGGGACCCCCAGGTGTCTGACATTTGACGCCCCATGAGCCTATCACTGCTCTCTAGCACAAGATCACTTTACTCCAGGACTTCAGTGGCCGGACTGCTGGCACAGAGCGTTCCCAGCTCTGGAAACCTCGTCGCCAGGCGGAATGCCCGTTGTCAAGACTACTGGGTGCGAAGGGATTTGACCTTTGCTTGGCTGCCGGGGTATAATTGGGTGGTTTCACACAAAAGTAAATTATTGAAATGTAAAAATCAGGAAAAACTGGGCACTAAGAAATAAGACTTTGGCAGAGCAATTTTTTTGTTTGTTTGGGTTTTTTTTTTTTTGGATGGCGCTACCTGATCTTCACCTCTGAAAGTTAAAAGGAGAGAACTGTCCCCACTGTCCTAGACATCAGAAAGGCTGGGATCCTCAGGTCTGATCTGTGGAGCCTGCTAATTGAGGCTCCTATCGGTAGGAATGTGCCCCCAGCTCGGGCCATCTCAGGCATGGTGGGAGGGAAGCTGGGAACACAATCCCCCAGTGGAGGCCGAGATCTGTGTGGTTCGTTTGTGCAGCCCAGCCCTGCCCACTGCAGGAAGCAAGGCATTTACAGATGAGAAATTCAGCAGACAGCAGACTCGGTCCTGAGCAGCACACCGGTCCCAGGGCCCGTGCAGGAAGGGAGCGGGGCCTCTGCTTTGTACACGCAGCCTGTGTGTTCACACATGGTGCTAGGATGCACGCTGCATGTGTATGACTACAGATTGGGCAGACCCACAGGCACTGAGGCCACTCTCCTGCGGAAGCGGGGCCTTCCCAAGCATTGGCTTCCTATGCTACCTTCCGTGACAGACCCACCTTAAGATAACCCTTCTACCTTGTGCTGAGCGCTGACTCTCAAGTCAGACTCAGGGCACTCTAGCAAAGCAGTCTTGGGCAAGACTTCTTCATACCATGCTGGACCTGTGTGTTACCTGGACATATTACCCAAATAAATACCACCTTCCGTGTAAAATGCTCAGCCCAGGCTGGCACAGCAGAGGTATGGAATAAATGCTGACTGTGGTCATCTAGTGGTTATTATAGAAGAATCTTAGCTTTGCTGGTAATGTCTGCGTTGGTCTCTGCTTCGAGGGGTAGTCAGGGAGCGTGTTTAAAGGAACCAACTCTAGTCACCTTCGGCGTCTCTTCTCATCTCAAATGCACTCTGCATTACAGTGTTTTCCTCTTTCGTTCTCCAGCAGCTGTTTAAGAGCAGCTGTTTCTGTCCTAATCCCTGTCTCTGTTTGTTTGGGGTCCCTGCAGCTTCCTGTGCTTTGACCCCGTTCAATCAGCAGACGTCTGCTGAGCACCGCGGGTACCAAACCCACAGGTGATGTTGCCTGAGAAGGTCTGGGCGCCCCAACCCTAGCAAGAATCAACTCCATCAAAATGCCCCTCCTGAGTACCCCAGTGTGTATAGAGGGTGTAGGTGGGGTCTCTTCTGGGACTGTCTCCCAGCTAAACACCCCACCACCCCTGAAACCACATTCCTCGGGCTCACAGCTCCCTCAGCCTCAGCTCCCCTCCTTAACCTCATGCAGAAACCTTCCCGGGTCAGGACAGCACAAAACATATTTCCAGGAATTTGAATCTTCCCCTCACATGAGATCGTAGATCTTCTTTTCGCCTCCCATTACATACATCAAAAATCACTGTGAGGTGCCCCCCGGGTACTACAGTTCATGTAAAGCTAGGATGTCCTGCACTTAGAGGTAAGAAGAGTGACATCTAGGGACATTTTGCTGATACTGCAAGTAGCTGGCATGCTGATGCGTGGGCTAAAATCAGTCATGGTGATAAAGTCCTTCTTGGCCAAAAACCATGCCCAGATATTTCAAAGTGAATTATTTCCCAAACTAAGAGTTCATGTTTTTTGGTTTTGTTTTTTGGGGTGTTTTGTAGTTTTTTTTTTCCATGAGTCACACAAAATGCACAATTATGTGTCACCCAGGGTTACAGTTGGATAACCCAGTTGGATAACCCAGTTGGATAACCCAGTCCACCGATCCTCCAAAGAGAAACGCTGCACCTGCACCTCCCTGGCCTGTGACCCCGTGGAGCGCTGGTGTCTTAGTTAATTTCTCAAATATTCAGCCCTTGAAGCCTAAAGGGGAGGCTGCTCTCCTGGTGCCAGGGTGGCTGGCTCCGAGAAACAGTGGAAGGGTTCCCTGATGAGAAAAAGCTGCTTCCATCACAGTGGCCGAAAAGAAAGGAGTCCAGGGGGATACACACCCCCTAGAAAAAGCCCATGCCCTGCAGGGGTCCTCCTCTTCCAAACAGACTCACTTCCTAGTAACCTATCCACCATGGTTGAGTCCACCAATCAGTCTACACAGCCACGATCCAACCTCCTTCCCAAAGCCCTAGCTCTAGATGTGCCAGGCTTTGGGGAAATTCCAGGTCCAGGCCACAGCAGCGGGGAATGCAGAGGGCATGGCAGGAATGCAGACCCACTGTGCGCTAGAGGAGCTGCCTGCCTGTAGACCTGGCTCTCACCTCACCAAGGAGCGGTGGGTCCGTGTAACTCAGCCTCCATAGGCCACCACAGAAAGACGTGTCCAGGACCTGCTTTCATTCCCACTTCAAATGTCCCACAACCAGCAGCAGTGGTCAACGTCATTCTGGTAATCTCAGAGCTGGCACAAATTATTAGTCATTCAGCTCCACGGCTGTGCTTACAGTTCTCAGCGCCATCCACGACCTCGGGCAGCCCTTAAAACAGTGACTGAGCCTCCCAGGCAGACAGGGCAGCTCCACACCGTCTCTTCAGAATTATAAAGCGTGCAAATGCTTCATGATTACTTGGTCATTGACCCCCCTCACGTGAGATTTATCGTTTGCCATGGGGCCCACACAATTTCTGGAAAGAGTTTTACCTCACTCTCCATGCAACCCTGCAAGTTTTTATTTTATGCTTAGGAAACTGAGGTCCAGAGGCTTCCTTTTGCTTGTTTTAGGAAGCAGAACAAATCTGAAGGCACCCGGAATGTGGTGGGCTTGGAAGAAGGACAGACAGCCAGAGCTGCCCTCTGTCTGCGGGGAATTACTGCATCTGAGAGGCCAGCAGAGGGGAGCTGTGATGGTGGGGAGAGTGGTGATTTAGGGGTGACCATGCACTGGGGTCTCCTCCACCGCCCTCTGCCTGTACAACTTCGCTTCAGACAAGGACAGGGTTGATGCGGCCTTGGCTTTGGACCCGCAGGGCCTTGCGTCCCTGGGGATTGGGCTCTGTGCTTGCAGCACCTTCCTGCCTGGTCCCTGTTAGCAGTGCTGTTCTTTCTGTGCAGGTGACCGAGGGCCACTGGAAATGGGGCGGTGTCACGGTGGAGGTGAGTAGCGCCTTCTTTACCGGCATCTACGGGATGTGGAACCTGTATGTGTTCGCACTGATGTTCCTGTACGCGCCGTCCCACAAGAGCTACGGGGAGGACCAGTCCCATGGTGAGTCTCCACCTCTGCACCGCTGCCAGGGTGAGAGCTCCGGGCTCATGAGTGAGACACTCCCCCAGGCCCCTCATGCTGGGGGACAGGAAGTGAGCACCCGCAGGATGCTGGGGGGGGCAGTAAGACCAAGCACACACCAGGCAGCTCTCAAAGTCTTCATGTTTTAATCTCTAAAATACATTTAGGATGTTCTGTACAATTTTTTTTTTTATTTCTTAATTTTTATTTAATTTTATTTCTTAATTTTTATTATTTTGAAGGTAGCAAAATACAACAGAACAACACAGAATAAAGCCAATTTAGACAGTGTAGTGAAATTGGTACAGAACTTCATAGCAGGTTACCAGGATAATAAGTACCATAGTATATATCGTAGATAGAGCAAAATAAAATGAAATACAGAACATTATAGAACTTATCAAAACAGAATATTGAATAGAGCAATACCATTAGTCAGAATAAAGCAAAACAGTGGTAAAAATATTTGCCTTCAAAGGGATGGTAGAAGGAAATGCCCCCTATTTGCTATATTGCATATGGTCAGCTTCCCAAGAGATGCTCAGACCTCTGGCTCCCATTTGCTAGCAGGGCTGGGGTGGGATGTTTGATTCTCAGCCCGTGCACTGGTAGGCTCACTACCACTTAGCAGGGAGGCGAGCTGGTTGCTTGGTTTCCCAGCACCCTAAGTTCCAACATGGTGTGGATCTCAGGAGAGATGGTGGTTCTCGCCCTGGGGCAGCCGCAGCCTGCCACACCACAGCCGCTTACCAGAGAGGCAAGCTCTGTACTATTTTAAAATATGTCCCAGTTTTAGTACAAAAAGAATCAAAATTAACCGTCTTGAATTTTTCTTTAACAAAATCAACAGTTAACAAGTACTTGCCGCATTTCATCTTCCCATCTGAGAGGTGAGGTCCTGCGATGCCAGGTGGAGGGCACTGGAGCCCTGAGGGTGGCGGGTGGAAGGGGTTACCGCTCCCATTCCTTTTCTCTCAAGGGTTTCCTCTTTGTGTTTGTTTGTTTGCTTGTATTGCTGGGGGGCAAACCTACTAAGCAAGTGATCTCCTACCTGGCTACACCCCAGCCCTCTTCCCCTCCCCAGAACCTTCTTGTGGTTTAGAGCTGGTGCACCCTGAGGTCTCACCAGACCAGAACGTGCAGCTGCTAACCACCCCGTTAGAAGCCAGCGCTGTGGTTTCTGAGAGGCATGGCAGGATTTAGCGGTCAGTCTGAGTTCCGTTATGAGCAGGACTGAGGCTGTCACCATGGTCATCTTCATGCTGTGGGACATTAGGTTAGTGTGCACTGTGAATAATTAACAGAGGCTGGCCTAACAGAGCCTTTCTGTATCCCTGAATGTCCCTGGAGCCCTGGTCCCACAAAGCAGGGCTTTTAGAGCCACTGTCTTTATGCAACAGACCTGGGGATAATGGTTCCACTTTACCTGAGTGGACGTGGTAGATGTTTGTCCACACCTGGGCTCTCCTGCTGACTGGTCACTCCGAGGGCGCTATGTTCCCAACCCTTCCTTAAAAATCACTTGTATTTTACAGCAGAGCCTCCGTAAATCTCTTAATGATCCAGGCTGGGCTTGAAATTGCCATCCTCCCTCGCCCCCAGTGTCCCAGAGCACTGGGGTAGGAGGTGTGTGCCCCCATGCCTGCTGAACCGCCCCTTAGGATGCTGTGGGAACGCTGTGACCTCAAGCTGAGAGCAGCTTTTGCAGAGGAAGGCACGTGTGCTGGGTGCCGGTAGAGGGTTGGCCCTGGCCACCTCCTGTCTTCACTCTGTCGGCCCAGGGTCCCAAGAGTGAAGGCATCTTGTCACCCTCACTCAGATCCATCCGTGTCACGCTAGGCGGCAGCAGTAGCCCGGCCCTGATGGGACGCATGCCTGAGAAGAGTATTTGGTGACAGGGTTCTGTAGAGGCCTTCAGAGTTTGGGCAGGGACACCAGTGACTCTCAGAACCAGCCCCCGGGGATGCCCGATGTCCCCTTTCTGGACCCTTTCTCTGAATGCCTGCCAAGGGGTTGGTAGGGGGCTTTCAACATGAGACTTTTGGGGGAGTAGGGCCACAGTGCAGCCCACGACACCCGAATTTCACCCCACACTTCTGAGTGTCTCTTGTCTCCCTGGGGAACTTGGTGTGTGGCTGTCAATGTCTGGAGCCTATTTGAGGTGTGTAGGAAATGCTCATGGCAAGCGCTGGTCCCCTGTCCCCTGGTGACAGGAAGTGAGAGATGACTGGGCCTCAGGGTCCAGCACCCTGTCCCACCAAAGCCTCACTACCCTAGGGAGGATTCCCAGGCCCAGCCACCCCAGATCACTTACTACACACTAAGTTCTGTGTGGGGTGTTTACTTCCTTGAAAAAGAAAACAAAGTGGAAAATGTATCTTCTTTAGGTATGATAATTACATTAACATTCAGCACATAGAGCACGGCACTCTTCCCTTGACAGTCCTTAGCTTTACAGACTCCTTCCGCTGTAAACCAGCGACCTCACCACGGAGTCATCATATAAGTGTAGCTTCGATGCTGAGGTAAGAGAGGTCAGTGTGTGATCCCATCTATCCCTAGGGCTCGGTCGCCCTTGAGGACACAGTAAATAACCCTGCATAAGTCTCCAAGGCTTTGCTGGCTCGGGTCCCCTGCTCTGGGTCTTCATCCACCCATTAAAGAAATGAATTGCACCTCGGTGTCTTGCACTTTAGGGGCAAATCCAGCCAAATGCACCCAAATCCCGCCCTCTGCACTGCCAGGGCACTGGCTGGGCACTGAGGCTCCTCTGTAAGAACAGAGTTAAGGACTTCCGGGAGAACATGGCGGACAGATAACAGCAACTACCGGAGGCTCTCTGAAAGACTCGGCTCAGAAGCCAGGAATGGTGCGGACTAAGGAGACATAAGCAGGTGGAGTTATGCTCTGCTGACTCAGGAACGAACTGGGCTGAGAGAAACCAACTTGGAATGCAGTCCTGGTGCTAAAACAGGAACAGAAAAGTCTCACTGCTGAGGCTGGACCCCGCGCCATTGTAAGCCGCGATTTGGGTTTCCCGCCGCGCGGCGGCTGGCTGCCTCTACAGTGGCTCGGCAAGGAGAGAGACACGCAGAAGCTCTGAGAACGGCAATCTGCGAACGGCAGGGAGGCGTGCACTGACTTGTGGTGAGGTGAGTGAGAGAAGCTGACACTCTACCACAGTTTGACTCCAGCAGAGGACTTTCTGGGCCCGAGCAGTCCTGCGGGAGCAGGGCGCAGTGGCGACTCCAGCCACACATCCCCCTCTCGGGCGGGATTGGTGAAAAGTGGCTGGCCTGCGTGACTCTGCCGGCGGACCCGATAGGCTGTCCCAACCCAGATCCCAGAGCCTGACGGTGGCCGGGAGGGGAGACGCGTAGGCTGCCTGGTCCGTAACTCCCTGGTGCACAGCGGTGAGCGGGAACACCTAACTGGCGCAATTCAATCAGGCTGTGTCTGACTGGGAGAGAAGCTGGGCCTCTTATATAAGCTTGCATATATAAGGAACAGAGAAGAAGAGGCAGCATGGGAAGAGGCAGCAACAAGAAAGGCTCCTCGGCCCCCAATTCTGAGAAACAGGCAATAGCAGACACCGCACCAATATACATAAGGCACCATATAGAGAGCCTCATAGACCAATTCAGGAACGAAGTTATCAACGACCTGAAGCTAGAAGTATGCAGAATAGTTAGAGAAATGCTAAGTACCACCCAAGAAAAAACAGGCGGTGGAATGGAAGAACAGAAAAAAAGGGGAGAATTGTTTGATGGAGAAAACAGAGAAAGCATAGAATACGTGAAGCAGGTTCAAAGGGACTACCAAGATACTAAGAAGTCTATAGAAGACTGGCATAACAGCTTGAAAGAAACTAAGGACAGACTATCTGAACTGGAGGGCAGACTTGTAATATGGGAGAATGAAATGAAAAACTTCTTAAAAATAACAAAGAAACAAACAGCAATAATACAAAGACAAGAAGATGATAAGAGGATCCATAACTTAAGGATTAAGAACATAAAAGAAGAAGTAGGGACACAAACAAGTGAACTACAAAAGCTACTCACAGAAATAATCCAGGAGAATTTTCCTAATTTAGCAAAAGGTAAAGATACTCAGATGTATGAGGCATACAGGACCCCAGCTACCTACAACCCAAACAGAGCAACACCCAGGCATATAATAATAAAAATTCCAGAAATTCAATACAAGAACAGAATATTAAAAGCTGTAAGAGACAAGAAACAGACCACTTACAAGGGAACACCCATCAGAATTACAGCAGATTTCTCGGCACAAACCATCAAATCACGAAGAGCGTGGGGGGAAATAATTCAAGCTTTGAAAGATAACAATCTCCAGCCAAGATTGAGATATCCTGCACAACTATCCATGGAAATTGATGGAAAAACAAGGTGCTTCCAGGATAAAGAGGAACTGGGGGAATTTGCAACCACCAATTCAACTCTACAGAGAGTATTGCAGGATATTCTAAAAAAAGAAAAATACAAAGAATCCAGAAATAATGGCAGAGAGGCCACAACGAATGGAGCAGAGAACAAAATGAAGAAGACAAACTGACAGCTACTGACAGAAAAAGAGCTCAACAGAAATGAGGCAGAGAAGATTGGATGATAGGAACAGCTATTTTGGAGAAAATGACATCTTAATAGGTAATACTGATTTAGTATCATCTTGTTTTGAAGTCTCATCTAGCTTTTGTCCTTCTGTCTCCAATGGTCTAAATAGGTTGTATCTTACTGGATTTTATTATGTACAATAGTATAAGCAAAAACCTTGTAAAGACAAGGAGATTATACAGAAACCATTATTCATTTTCTGTTAGTCGATTCTAAATACTCTGTAATGCTGTCATTCTCTTGAATGGTTTTACATTGTTTTGATATACTTAATGCTACAGTATACGAAGTTGTACTCAAGGATTTCAAAGAAAGAGACAATATGGTAACTACCTTTAGGTTAGGATTATGTGGTGGTGAAACACTATTCTGCTTAAATGGTTATGTTTTGATCTGCGCTGTTTTGTTGTTATGCCCTCTTTTATCTCAATCTCCACTCCATTATTTACTTTTTTATCTTTATCCTTTTAATTAAAGGAAAAAAATAGCAGGATATATTATAGTAACCCACTTTGACTTTTCATTACCTTGATTTAAAGCCCTGTATTACTCTCACCATCTGGTTTTTAACTGATGTTCCCCTATTCTGTTTTGCTGGATAGTATCAGGTTCGAAAGTTTAGGCATCAGCTGTGAAGATAATGAGATTCATTATGACGCCCATTCTTGTAGACTTTTATCTACTTTTGAAGAACTACAATGTCTCCAATGTTTTGGTTTTGTCGGTTTTATTCTTTACTGTTTTGTTCAATTGTATTATAACTAACGATATAGGCAATTGTATTAGAGATAGCGGGAGGCATTATAGTAACCATTGTTGATCACCTTGTATTATGTTTTTACATTATCTATTATGTCCACCCTTTTGACTTGACCGATTCTGTTCTGTTATGTCACATTTGGTTTTACTCTCTTCCAAAAAAGTAATAAGAACCGTGGGAGCAATGAAACCCAAAATGTGTAATAGTCATGGTACAAAAGAGAGGAAAAGAAAGTGCTCCAAACTATATAACTGCATGTATATTTAAGTGTATAAGATAGAAAATGATATCACAGAGTTTTATTGGATCAATGAACAGAACTGTTTGCAGTATCATTGATGGAATGTCCACTTTACAAGCTTTAATTTTGTGACTTGAACAATTATTTCTAAGATGACAATATGTAATCCATTAACTAGTGATTTCCTACTGTTCATTTTTTTTTTCTGTAAATCTGTATAACTTGTACCCTTTCCCTGCTTTTTTTTTTCTTTTCTCCTTAAATAAAATTTAAAAAAAAATGGAAAAAGAAAAAAAAAAAAGAACAGAGTTAAGGGCTAAGCATTCCTCCTGCTGGCTCCACTGGGCATTTGCACCTGCTGTTTGCTGCCTGTGGGCTTCCTCTGTCACGGCAGCTGGACACTGGAATGCTCCTGAAGGCTGGATGCATGGATAGCAGAACCCCACAGCTCTGGCTTGAATCTCACGTCACTGAGCATCACACCTGGCCTCGGCAGGTTCCTGGCCTCTCAATGCCTCAGTTTCTCCACCCGCAGATGCTGATAACAGCGCCTATGTCCAAAGACAGACACAAGGATTAGTGCATTGACATTTGTACTGTGCTAAGCGATGTAATATAGATGGCCTTTTCATTTATTTATTTGTTTTTAAAAAGCAGTGTTGGCTGTATCTCCACTGGGTCTGCCTACTGGAGTGACATTTCAGGCTTAAAGGGACCCCAGGGCTCTAGGAAGGGTTCAGGGTTTCCCTGGGGAAACCTTCCCTGGACTTCAGGGGCCTTTGAAACTCCGAGGACTCTGGCAGAGACATGCAGGTCAGGGCTGCTTTGTAGGCCCCAGAGCCAGCTGATCCAGCCCCTACCACAGGGTTGGTGAAGCAGTCTCCTAGCCCAGGGACGGGGAAGAAATCACCAAGAAGGCGAGTTAGTGACCTGCACTGTGCTGCAGTGGTTGCTCTTGACCCCAGCCAGCCTCTGTACTCCTCCCCTGGAGAGGCGCCACCAGTTCTGTGGGTTCACTGCTCAGCACCTGAGCTCGTGATGGATGCCTCTCTGGGGCCTTCGTGCCCAAGTCTGAGCAGAGCTGGGAACAGGACGGATCCTGCTGTTCAGCCCTTACCAATGGGTCCACGCTGTACCTGGTGGGGCGCCCTGCAGGGCTATGTGTGACCTCAGGGCTCGGAGAATACTGGACCCATCCGTGCCAGGTAGAAGCAGGGAGCAGGCTGCCCCAGGGTGATGGTATGGGAATCCATCTGCCTGCCTGTCTGTCTCTCTCTCTCTTTGTTGATCGTTCGATCAATCTTTCCATCTACCTCTTCTATGTGTTGAACTAGGAAAAATGTCAGTGCCAGAAAATACTGATGGTACACAAGATAAAAGTTAGACACAGCGATCTTGTGTTTTGCTACCCTTTTTACTGCAAAAAGTGAGTAGTTTAAGGGATATTTTGATTCTAAATATGATGAAAGAATTTCTCACCTAAAAAAAGATGAAAGGTACAAGCTCAACTTGCTCCCTGGTTTTCCCGCATGCAAATATCCACACGTTGCCCGAGCTGATGGATGGCTCCGGGCATCTCCCGTGTTCCTCCTGCAAACTTACCTTCGCGTGTTTGTCTGAGGGTAAATAACAAACAGAGGGTTTAAGCCACAGAAACTCAGTTTTGTTTTGTTTTGTTTTGTTTTTGTTTTCCTGCTAACCGAGGAAAGACCCCGTAATCCTTCTAGCAGAGTATTGCTCTGTCCATGGAGAGTGAGTTCAAGACACAGGGTATCCTGAACCCTGAGGGCACAAGAAAATGCCCAGCACATTTCTGCATTTTTTTTCCTCAAGAGAAAAAGCTCTGGGTGTTCACAAATGCAGGAGCCTGCCCAGGATCGTGGTCCAGATAGGCAGAGCGTCTTCCTCGCCTTTCTGTCCTGAGAGCCACTGTGTAAACTCCCCCCAGCAAATGTGAATGTGCCTGCCTTCCTTCCAGTCAGGAGTGAGTCGTACTGACTCAGCCCACAGGAGACGCTTCTGCCTCAGCCTCATGGCTAGCTTTATTAGGTAGCCGCAGGGGTCTCTCTTACCTCCCAGTTTGTCCCCCCATACTGTTGCTGCAGTGTCAGTCTCAGGGCCCTCAGGGCCCTGATAGGAAGGAAGGAAGATCTCGGATAAAGCGTTTAGAGTAGGGTCAGGCACCAGGCAAGCACCCACCAAGTGTTAGCAGCTCCCACACACGGCCTCAGCAGTGCGCCAACACCTACGTCGTTTGCTCTTCTCTGGACCCCAGGATGATATTTTAAATCCTGCCAATCTCAAGTGCAAAGGTTGGGGGAGGCCCAGGGGCCCAGCTCAGGGACAGGAGCCAACACAAAGCCTGTGTCCCCCCCCCCCCGCCCTCCTTCACCCCACTAACACCGCCCTCCTGTTTCAGGCGACCTGGGTGTCCACAGCGGGGAGGAGCTGCAGCTGACCACCACCATCACCCATGCGGATGGGCCCACCGAGATCTACAAGCTGACCCGCAAGGAGGCCCAGGAGTAGCATAGGGGGGCTGCCCGCCGGGCCCTGCCCAGCCCCTCCTGCCTCCCAGCCAGGCCTTCTTGGACCTGCGGTGCGGACCCTGTCAGGCCGCCCCCTGAGCAGCTTCAGGAGGGTCCGGCAGCCCCTCACCAGGGCAATGGGTCTGGTAATAAACTCCAACAGACTCACGCTCCGTGGGCACCGTTACCTGGCAACGACGATCACCAGGACTGGGAGCCGGCTGGGGGCCTCACGTGTGGGGTGTTCTTCCTGGGGTGCTTGGGCCGGATGGGGTCTGTATCGAGTGGATGGTGACTCTTTTTATTCCTGTTTTAGATTCGGGGTAGATTTTTAACATTCTTTGCAGCCCAGGGTGTGCTGGTATCTTGGCCCACTGTCCTGCTCTGCAGACACTTCTTTTCCCTATTTATACCCAGTAGCCTGCTGAGTTAATATTTAAGTTCTCCATAGATATCTGTCCCTACTTTTATGGCTTCATACAAACTAATTGAATTTCATGAGAAGGTCTATTCGACCAGAGGCATTTTCGCTTGGAAACCAAGTCTGTGTCTCTAGCACTAACCGACTGTCGGATGTGACTTTAAAAAAAATGTTTGCTTAACCACCCAGTAGGATTTATGGTATTAAATGGCCTTTGGGTCTGAAAAGCTTTTTTAACCTCTTGCCTAAAATGTGTTTTCTTTTGATAAGATGCTTCAAACACTCTCCAAAAGTAGAGATTCAGTCATTTTAATAAACCCACATGCATCTGCCTAGATGGGGCCTCACCCTCCTCCTCCTCCTCTTCCTCCTTCTCCTCTCCCTCCTTCCCCACTTCCCCTCCTCCCCCTCCCCTCCCCTTCTCTGCCCCCTTCCTCCTCCTCCTTCTTCTTCTCCTCCTCCTCCTCTTCCTCCTCCTCCTCCTCCTCCCCCTCCTCCAGCTGGAAGTGACAGGCAGGGAGGTGCTGATCCAGGCCGACCCAGGCTGGGGGTATGGGTGGGGAGGAAGCTTTATGGGAAATTAGAATATTTTGCCATCAAGTCAGGGCGTTTGGTGACAGCAGCTCTTCCTGCCAGCAAGGGGATGTTTATGTACTGGGTGGTTAAGCTGAGTTTTGGCAGCAGGGTGGGCAGCAGTTGCTGGGTGTGGGCCAGAGACCTCAGGAAGAGGCCTCCACCCAGCTCCCCAGCCTTCTGAAGAGTGCATGGAAGCTCATCCCAGAGGCCACAGGCTGAGGTCAGAAGGCAACGGGAAAAAGCAAGATCTTCCCAGGGCCAGAGGGTGCCAGGCCACACAAGATGAGGGCCAGGACGAACGAAACACAGAGAAGGCTCAAGCCCAGTGGGTACCCAGGACGGGGTGAGGCAGCCCTTGACCACACGCCCATCAGCCGGAAGCAGCAGGGCTTTCATCAGAGTTTCTGCATTTGTGACACGTAACAGCTACCCTCGCCGTGGGACCCTATGACAGGGACATGTGCCCCCCCCCATCACTTTCCCTGCCCTTTCCTGTCCTGCCTGTCCCCTCTCCACCCCTCCATCGCCTCTCCATGGCCTGCATCCTGCTCTCTCTTGGGTTATTCATTCTTCTCTTGGGTTATTTAGACTTTGAATTTCTCATCTAACAGAAGCCATGCAGTGTTTTAAAACTTGTGGGTCTGATTTACCTAATCACGGCCTCCAGCGGCCTGCATTTTCCTGCAGGTGACTCATTTGTCCTTCTTGGGACACAGTGGCCCTCCATGGTGTGTGAACACATTTATCCGTTCACCTGTCCCCGGACGCAGACCATGTCCAAGGTTTAGCTGCTGTGAGCTGTGCTGCCGTGAATGGTGTGCATGGACCCTCCTTACGTGATGACTTTGACCCAGAAAGATGCTGAGGAGGGGCCGCATAAAATTTCTAGTCTTACCTTTAGGAAACTAGCGGCGGGGTTTTAAACCCTGAGAGTAAGAAGACCCCCTCTGGCTCCAGGCTGTGCTCTGAGTGACCCTGAGCCCAGAGCGGCTGGCAGGGCCGGCCCCGAGGCCCCCGGCCGACACCCTGCGGAGAAGGTGAGGGTCACCATGGAGGTGAAATGAGGAGGCAGGAGCCAGAGTGCGTGGCCAGAACATAGGCACCACGGAAATCAGGAGTGGACCCACAGCCTCAGCTCCAAGCTCTCCAGGCATCATGCTGGCCTCCGGCAGAGCGGACTGTCCAGGCCGCCGGAAATGGCCCCAAGGCAAGAGGTCCAGGAGCTGAGCTCTGCCCTGGAGGAGGCCTCCATTGAGGCTGAAGCCAAGTCTTTATCTCTCACTTCAAACCATGGGTGGCTGAGTGGTGTCCCTGTGTCACTCGGCTCCGGCAGGGCATTGGGCCACGTGGCTGCAGGGCTTCACCTATGGGTGGACGGAGTACTGCTGTGCCCTAAAGAAGAGAAAACGAGTCATCTGGGCATAGGACTGAACTTGGGCCTCTCCGAGCTTTGTTTTCAGAACCCTCTCTGGAGAATGTGATGAGCAGAAGACACAGCAGCCCTTGTCACTGCAGAAGAGGATGTTGGACACAGAGCATGAAGAACTTGCAGGAGAAATCTCGGGCCAGAGTGGCGAGCCAGCACCAGCCTCACTCCAAGGCAGAGGAACCAAACGAGAGTCAGGTGGAAAACTGGGTGTCGAGGTTGCTCAAGAAAACACCAAGTCATAGAACCAGCAGTGCTGGACGCCCCAAAGCCCAGCAGCCATGAGGACTGGGCGAGGCTGACAGGCTGGGTGACAGATGCATGTGGCCTCCTGGGACAGCAAAGGCCCAGGTCACACAGAGAGCCGAGCGGAGTCAGTGCGGTCCATGCTGGGAAATGGTGCCTGCTCTGAGGACGGCTGGTGAAAGCAAGGCTGGCCTCTCGGTCAGGGAGGGACACGGACCGTGTCTGCAGATCTGAAGGCCGCAGAGCAGGTGACATAGTCATGGGAAGGCCAGAGAGAGGTCCAGGAGCAGCTGCCCTGAGGAGTCAGCGTGAGGGAGGGAGGAACGATTGCATCCTAGGAGGAAAACAACAGGCAGACACAGGAGAGAGCAGAGAGCTGAGGCGGGAAGGGGAGCGGCTGCAGCCCAGCCTGGGAGCACCCTGGCTTCTCCACAAACAGGAAGTGAGTGCTGGGGCCCAGACACCCCCAGCCCAAAGAGGTGAGGGGAGCCCAGCCAGCTCCCCACAGTGGAGTGTGAGCGGGAACTGCTGAGGTGGTGAAAAGCTTTCACTACAGATTGGCAGGCTAGGGGAAAAATGGCCAGCCATGTACACAGTCTTAAACGCACGTCATCACAGCAAGGTTTGGCTTAGATATCGAAGTTCCTCCCACAATCTCATGTGGGCTTTGAGATCATGGGAGCATTACAGTTTACCCCTGGGCGAGTCCATGGCTCAATGTGCCCATAGGAAGTGGGTCTGCTGGAGGCGGGGACACACACAGGAGGTCCCTTCTGAGCATCCATATCTCACCCTGGCTCCTCCCTTTGCTCTCTGCTTCCTACTGGCCATGGTGTGGCCACTCTGCCGGCCTTGAGGCCAGCCCACCCACCGCGGACTGAATCACCCAACACATAGGAGAGATGAAACCTCTCTGTTAAGTTGTGGGGATCAGGCACTTTGTCCCAGCAGCAAGAAAGCAACTTAATTCCTTTAAAAGGATATTGTAGAGGGCCAGGGATTTTTCTCAGCAGCATGGACACCTGCTTGGCAAGCACAAGGTTGTGAGTTCAATCCCTGGTTCCAAAAAAAGAAAGAAAAAGATACTGTAGAAAAGTATGTAATTTTTGAATGCTCCTTTTTTTTTTTTTTTAGAACAAAGAAAATTCATCAATATATTAAAAAATTAAGTAACATCCAGTGACTTCCAAGTAGAAAACACAGTCCGTTTTGTGCTGGTTACCTGTGTGTATTCCACATTTTCCCCGAGTGGAAGAAATGAAGTCTGAGGTTCCGTGCACGATCTCCGGTCCTAGTCACTTCTCTCGTTGCTGGGATGCCTGACACCCACAGTGTAAGGAAGAAGTTTCTTTTGGCTCACATTTTAGTCCACTGTCAGCGGGCTCCAAAGCAGGCACTTGGTACAGGGCCTGGCGGAGGAAAGCTGCTCCCTGCACGTCAGACAGGAGGCAGAGTCCAGGCAAGAGGCAGGCAGGGAGAGACCGGACGGCAGCCCCTCTCTGTGGCCTGCATTTTCTAGCTCAGTCTAAAGACGTCCAGTGTGGGGCGCTCCCTGCCTCCTGTGAGCTCCACCCGCGTCAGGACAAGGCCTTTCCTGTGTCTTTACCCTGCTGCCCTGATGGAGACCTCTGTCCATCCTGCCTCACTCACTCAGAGCTGTGTTCTGCAGCCTCCACGTCTCGGTTCCTGTCTGCTCCTCCAGACACAGCTTCCAGAAAGTTCCCAGGTCCTGCTGCCCTGTTCACTGTTCTCTCATTCTTCCAACCTTGGATCCTGGGGAGCAATGCTGCTCCAGCTGGCCCAGATTCACATCAGAACACTGCTTCCCGTACAGGGCCCGAGGGTCCGAGAAAAACCACTCCGGATTCTTCTAACTCCCCACAGCTGACTTTTCTGCCTGTCTTGTCCACAAACTGCTATCCAGCTTAGAGAAGCAGACATGGGCCTTATCAGTATAGGAAGACTTCACGGCCTCCCTGGAAGATTTCACTTCACCCACACACAAATCCCATGCGTGAAGTATGTCTTTAGATTTAAAAATAGGTATTGATGATACAGAACTCAGTCCTCTCCACATGAGACACAGCCTGGTTTCAGTCACTGGAGAATTTAGGACCAGAAGTTTTGCGGAGGGGGGGGGGATAGAGCTCAGAGGCACAGCACCTGCCTGGCAAGCGCAAGGTCGTGAGTTCGAGTCTCAGGACCAAAAACAAGAAGAACCGAAAGTCAGCTTGGGCTGACCTGTCCAGCTCCATCCTGCACAGGCACACACGGTGCATGAAATCAGGAAGTATGAGTATGTGGTGTGTGTGTAGGGGTGTGATTTTATAAGGAGTCACCCAAGGCCCAGTGCATGCAGTGACTTGAGATGGGACTTAAAGGGGCACCGCAGTCTCCCGAGTCACCGCTGCAGCGTGAGCGCTTCTGCAGAGTCCAGGCTTCTGCTCCCTTCGTGGGCAGCGCTGTGGGCAGAGCCTGGACCTCACCCCAGACGCTCTCCCAGAGGGAAAAGGGGCCGGCTGCTCAGGGTCTCCACCGTGGCGGGCGTCTGCCCTCTTGTGGCCACAGGGAGAATGACGGCTATCTCGGAGCAAACCCTTGGGCCAGTCAGACCTGAGAAGGTGGGGACCTGGGAGCCAGGCTCTGCTATTGCTGCCTGGCGGTGAGGTCCAGCCCTGGCTCTGCCTGTGGGTCAGAAGCCAGGTATGCAGGGCGGTCAACATGCTGTCAGCACGGAGACCCCAGGAAAGCTGCTGTGCTCCCAGCTCTTGGACTGCATGGTTTCCAAAGTCCTCACAGAGGCTACTGTGGGTGCCAAGTGTCACAGGGCCCAACCTGTCCCAGCCCTGCTGCAGGGAATGTACAGAGATCACCTGTGCTTTTGCCTTAGCCCTGCAGAGCTCCACCTCAGGGTGCCCATCCTTGCCAAGGAGGCGCCAGCAAATCCCTGCATGGGGTGAGCAGCGTGGGGGCCGTTTCTCCTGGGAAG